AATTTCTAATCTTAAATTAAAAAGTAGGAGTCTTAAAAGTCAAAAGAGGAATAATTTTTTTTAACCCCTGGAAGATAGAAAGGAATGATAGGTACATAATGCATATTTCTTTTAAAATATCTGACCTGACTAACCCTCAGCCTCCCAACTTCCATCTCTCATTTGGAGCTAATCCAAAGAGCTTGCCGTTTTCTGACCTAAATCTCCTCAGGTCTTCCTCCTTAGAGTTTCCCTATGGCGTCAACATTCCTGTTCACTCTTGGCATTTAGATTCTTCCCTTGGTCAGCATTCTTTATTGACTCAAAACTTTACCCTGGCTCTTGATATCGCCTCCACTGTCTTGCCTCAATATCCCTTTTCAGGCTTTGATCCTGTTGCTCTGATGTCATCCTACACTGCAATCGAACAGGCTGATCTTATTCCTGTGTCGACGTCTTTACTCACACTATTATTCACCCTTACCCTCCCTCTTCAGTCCTGCTTTCTGCCCTTTCCCTGTCAGTGTTCATTCTGAAAAGCATTCCTCAAAAAACGTCCTGCAAGCTATTCTTCATGTGCTTCCTATGGACCCAACCTGCAACACCTTGTGTGTAAGTTTCACTGATGTTATGGCAAAGTGACCACCATTGGGCCTTTTTTGTGGACCTCGAGGTTCCAGATAGAATTATTGCAAACTGGAGAGGAGGTATCCATAAGTGGTCCAGAGAAGCACGCTTAGACAAACTACTCTATTGCCCTGAGCTGGGACAAGGACTGGGCTTCTCGGCAACTGGGACTGTGAGGAGGTTGTGGTAGGAGCAAGGGGATGGTCCTTAGTCATCATTGTCATCATTGGTCTATCTCTGAACCTAGTCTCTCTTCTAATCACCTCTCCTGACTTTCAAGGATGGTTTGATGTCTGTTTGAACAGCACTCAGATCACTAATCTGAGTTCCCTCTATTTTGTAGCCCTTCTTGGGCCTGATGTTCATAATGCCTCATCTTTTGTATTAAAATTTTCTTTATTCTCCAAAGAGGTTTTTTTTTTAATTATCAGCATAAAATAAGAGGCTGCAGGCAGCAGTGTTGCTACTTCCAGTTTGGAAGAGATGGTGATACGGGCAGCTGAAATCTAAAATGAGAACCAGATGCTCCCCCAGGTCCCTACTGGAAGGATCATAACCTAGTTACATGACCACACTGTGCCTCAGTCTTCTCATCCTGAAGATGGCCATATTTACTCCCAATGTAGAAGAAACTACATATGTTTGGGTTTACAAAGCCAATCATGAAAGAGCTATTACTCTTCCCCTGCCTATCCTGTTGTCCACATACATATCAATGTTTGCATATGATTGTACGTCTCAGGAGTCTGACTCAGGAGTCTGACTCAGATTGTACATCTCAGGAGTCTGACTTTTCACAGACAAGGTTAACTGAACTCACAGTATTACCTTGTATTACCTATGAGTTTTATGTTAAATTTTGAGCTTCTGACATAGAAGCTGATAAACTGTTGTTGAAACATTATGGAAGATACTCTCAAGAACTTCCATTCCCAGTTTGCAAGGGACATGAAGGAGAGGGCCTCTGCCTAGTATGTTCTGTCTCCTTTCTGCCTTCTCTCTGAACATGCTAAAATATTTGCTGAAGCCAGGCTACCACATAATGCTGCTTCTGCGATTGCCATGACCTTAATTGCTATTGCCTATTATTCAAAAACACTAATTGAGTCATGATCCCATTGCAAATGTGACTTAACTTACTGTTTTACTGCTTGCTCAGGCACTGCAAATAAAAAATAATGGCAGTTGTAATTAACTCAGAATCAGCTATATAACCTGTCCCTCAGCCCGTGACGGGTAAAAGTTCGATTAAAAAGTAAAGTTATTAACAGAGTAAGGTTTGGTCACACATCTGTCATACAGAGTGTGACAGGGCACAAATATTACCCCATGCCACCAGAGAGGGGATAACTGAAGACCTGAAGTAACTTTCTTTTGGGGCTTTCAAAGGTAAAGAAATAGCTCCACATATAAGGCAATTAAAATTATATATAAAGTCATATGATTCATCCGTTGCTTAAAAACTCTAGTAGAAGTGTTTCTTGTAGAATCACAAAAGGTATAATAGTAGTAAACGACAAAGCTAAAATTAAAAAAAAAATTCATGAAGCGATGTTAAGAGGAATAAGAGAACCTTACTAAAATGTCTATAACCCACCCAAAAAGTTAATTATTTGAAACCAAAAAAAAGATAATTCACACAAGATACTACTTCACACCTGATAGGATGATTGTCATCGAAAAGGTGGGAAATGACAAATGTTGGCAAGGGTGTGGAGAAACATGAACTCCTGTATACCGTTAGTGAGAATGTAAAACCGTACAGCAACTTCGAAAAATAGGTTGGTGGTTCCTCAAAACATTAAACATAGAGTAACTATATGACCCAGCGTTTCCACTGCTGGGAATATACCTGGAAAACTGAAAGTTTATGTCTGCAGAAAAACGTGTACACCAATGTCCAAAGCTGCATTATTTGTAATAGTCACACACACACACACACACACACACACACACACAAAGTGAAAACAACTCAATTGTCTGCTGATTGGTAAATGGATAAACAAAATGTGGTATATCCATATAATGGAATATTCATTAGCCATAAAAAGGAATACAGTTGTGATATACGCTATAACGTGAATGAACCTGGAAGACATTATTCTAGATGAAATTAGCCAGACACCAAAAACATGACTCCACTTAGATGAAAAGTCCAGAATAGGCAAATCTTTAGAGACAGAAAGTAGATTAGTGGTAGGGACTGGGAAATGAAGGGAATGAGGAGTTACTACTGACAGCTACAGCAACCTTTTTGTCACCAGGGACCCGTTTTTTCCCCCAACCTTTTTGGCGCCAGAGATCCATTTCATAGAAGACAATTTTTCCAAGGGACAGGGGAGGGGGATGGGGAGGAGATGGTTTGGGGATGAAACTGTTCCACCTCAGATCATCAGGCATTTGTTAGATTCTCATAAGGAGTGCACAACCGAGATCCCTCGCTTGCATAGTTTACAATAGGATTGAGCCTCGTTGAGGATCTGCTGACAATCTGACAGGAGGCGGAGCTCTGGAGGTACTACTGCATCACTCAAGTCCCGCTGTGCGGCCCAGTTCCTAACAGGCCACGAACTGGTACCAGTCCACAACCCATAGGTTGGGAACCCCCGGGCTATAGGGTTTCTTTTTGAGGTGACAAAAATGTCCTAAAATTAGAGAGTTTTGATGATTGCATAATTTTGTAAATATACTAAAAACTACTGAATTGTTCACTTTAAAAGAGTGAATTGTATGATATGTGAATTATAACTCAACTTTGAAAGGCTTTGCAAAATAAATTAAATAAACAAGACATTTGAACTATTCAGATCGCTACATACATGAAACAGCTGAGGCCTGGTGTAGTTAGCAAATGTGGGTATTGTAATTATTTGACCTGTTCATGTGACAATCCAGTGGCCCCCTGCCACAACTTCTACTTTCAGTATAGATGCTACCACCTTCAGGAAGCTAGCAAAGCAAGTAACTGGGGGTGTAAAAATACAACTCAGAGTGAAAACAGAATCATCAATATGGGCATGATCCTCAATGTATTTGCCTGGATGTATCTAGCATAGTGGGGTTGCAAACTTTCACCTACACACAGAGAATACAGATTTTTTTTTTTTTTTTTTTGAAAGAGTCTTGCTCTGTCACCCAGGCTGGAGTGCAGTGGTTTGATCTTGGGTCACTGCAACCTCTACCTCCCATGTTCAAGCAATTTTCCTGCCTCAGCCTCCCAAGTAGCTGGGACTACAGGCGCGTCCCAGCTAATTTTTTGTATTTTTAGTAGAGACAGGGTTTCACCATATTAGCCAGGATGGTCTTGATCTCCTGACCTCATGATCTGCCCACCTCAGCCTTCCAAAGTGCTGGGATTACAGGTGTGAGCCACTGGGCCCAGCCAGAATGTTTTATTTTACTCATGAGTAATCAAAGAAATGTCCTTCCCATGATTTTTAGACTTTAAAACATTTTAACTAAATGACCAAACCAGTTTAAAACTAAATCTCACCAGGCACAGTGGTTCGTGCCTATAATCCCAACACGCTGGGGGGGCTGAGGCAGGAGGATCGCTTGAGGCCAGGAGTTCGAGACAAACCTGGGCAACATAGTGAGACCCCATCTGTATAAAAATATACAGTAAGGCCGGGCACGGTGGCTCAAGCCTGTAGTCGCAGCACTTTGGGAGGCTGAGGCGGGTGGATCACGAGGTCAAGAGATCGAGACCATCCTGGTCAACATGGTGAAACCCCGTCTCTACTAAAACTACAAAAAATTAGCTGGGCATGGTGGCGCGTGCCTGTAGTCCCAGCTACTCAGGAGGCTGAGGCAGGAGAATTGCCTGAACCTAGGAGGCGGAGGTTGCGGTGAGCCAAGATCGCGCCATTGCACTCCAGCCTGGGTAACAAGAGTGAAACTCTGTCTAAAA